AAGATGTTGGGATTCTGATCCTTCGAATAGGCCAAATATTCAAGAAATAAGGAAGGATATGAGTATAATGTATAGATCCAAATCACTTGAAGAAGCAGAGGAGAAACGAAAACAGCTGATTGAACTTAATAAATTACTTACAAAAGATCTTGATTTCGAACATCCAAATTCAAAATATCACAGCAGACTTTTAAATCCTATGTTGGATTCCCTTGGATTATTGGTAAACTCAACCCATTCGTTTAGGAGTGACCCAATATCAGGTATTTATTCGGTGTATTACAATATAATATTTTTAAATAACTAATATTTTAATATTTTTTAAAGAATTTTCTTCTAGAAGTAGCTTCGATATATTAAACATCAAATAAATATTGAATCTTCTATGTCTATAACGTGCTAGATGCTTTTTTTCTAATTATTTTACATAAGCAGCGTTAGTTCTGAAATAAAATCGAGCGTAGAAAATATTAGATGTAAACTCGAAGTTATAGAAAACAAAGATCATGGTAATCATCTCATTATACAATAACTAATATTTATTAGATAAAATCAAACAAGAATGTGAAGAATATATTGTATTGCCGTGGATAGAAAAAAATGATCGTAATACGGAAAGTACTCAGCTGTTTCAAATGCCTACAGTTATGTCACCGGGAGCTTGCAATCTCGAAACTAATATGGACGATTGTGATTGGAACAAACAACAATGTGACCAATATGTTCCATTTGATAGTGAGAACATGTCATTAGGAGCCGGAACTTACAATCACGTTGTGGATGATACACATCCATGGAACTACAACCACACTGTAGATAATGCGCAGTCATGGAACTACAACCACACCGTAGATAATGCGCAGCCATGGAATTACAACCAATCCGTCGATAATGCGCAGCCATGGAACGAATATATACATATACATGATTTTCGAGAACAGATAAAAACTTCACAGAGAGTATACGACTACGAAACCAAAAGTCATATTTTAAATATACAGCAGTTGGATCAACATACACAATCAAATTGTGAAGAATATACAACGATAGTACGCAATGCTTACAACCATGTCGTGGAAGGCACATAGCCATGGAATAAGAAGCTAAGATGCAAAGAAGAATACAATAATAATACAAAATGCATACATGAACCTTAGAGCATACACATTCGGTATATATAATGACAAAGTACGATTTCTAATTGCTTGTAACAATAAATAGTTCTATAATATATTGGTAATATTTTTGTTACATATATCCGTTTTCATAGGCAGATTAGACAAAATTATTGTTATTTTAAATCATTTAACATCCGCGCTTTATTACTGACGTCTAATTTTATAAGATAGTTAACAAGTCTGTTAGTATATGTTATGTTATTATTGCACACAACATTTTTCTTAAAAAGTTCCTTTTATAGTAACTCCTTAAAAATTAAAGAAAAAAATATTCTTTTCATTTTCAATACCTACAAGTCCTTTACATCTTTCTAGTCTTCGCTACAAAAGCCTCAAGGAAACCAAAGAAATATATTGGTGCATCAAGATAGGATCTCTGGTCAGGAAGAAGCAAGTCTGGGGAGCTTGCTCTCTTCTTGAATTGCATGAGGGAAGGCTCGTGGCAGTTATT